ATCATGTGGGGTGGAGCCGCATTCCTGCAGCATCTGGCCTGGCTCACGCTGAGGGGCTGATAAGGGGCTGTCACTCCGGGCAGCAGAATCCAGGCTGGTGGGAGGTGGCCAGGGCAGCCTGACCTCCATGCCAGACGGGCCCTCTCCACTTACCAGCCCACAGGGTGGGCGCCTGGGGAGACACTCCCTGAACCCAGACTGGCAGACCAGGTGCCCGATCCCCCCGCGGGCCCCTGGGGACAGAGCGGCACCGTCCTTCTGGCGGCTGAGTGGCCTGCAGGGAAGAGAGGGTGTCACGCTGTGCGTGGGCAGCGGAATTAACCCCTCCAGTGGGGAGAGGGGCAGGCAGCCCCCCGCTGGCACTGGGGCAGGCAGGGCTCCGGTGGGGAGAGGGGCTGGCAGCCCCCCGCTGGCACTGGGGCAGGCAGGGCTCCGGTGGGGAGAGGGGCTGGCAGTCCCCCGCTGGCACTGGGGCAGGCAGGGCTTCCGGTGGGGAGAGGGGCTGGCAGTCCCTCGCTGGCACTGGGGCAGGCAGGCCTCTGGTGTGGGGGAGGGCAGACACAGCCCCTCCTGGGCTGCGGCATGGAGGGCTCCTGCCGGGAGGAGGAGGTGCAGAGGTTCCCCCATTGCTGCTGGGCAGTAAATTGTGACTGGCGTCAGGATCACCCTGGGTGAACCCAGGATCCGGCTCCAATAGGCCCCTCTGCTGTTCTCGGGCTCCATAAGGCGGCCCTGCGCCTGGCCCCTCCAGCGGGGCTAAGACCCATGGGCCCCCGTGCCCTGACCTAGAGCCTCACCCCACATCCATCACGGGAACCTGGGGAAGGGCATCCCTCACGAGGCCTGTGAATTCCTCGCGGGCTCCTTGCAACTGGCAGAGCAGGCGGCCGAGATACTCACGGTGCCAGGCACAGAGCTGGGGACAGAGTCAGAACCAGGCCAGCGGGGCCGGACCCTGCTTTGCCTCAGGTAGGCTCTACCCACGAGCCTGCAAGTCCTCCCCGCTCAGCGAGCCTCTTTCCCGTCCGTCCGTCCGTGCGACTCTGTCACACACGCTCCATCCATCCGTCCAACTCTGCTCCTCGTTCCTGTCGCTGCCCCACACCTGCACGCCAGCCCAGCTGTACCCTGGCACCTCCTCCCGGCACACGCACCTTGCTCCGCTGCCTTCGCCGTCCCCACGTCCGTCACCCTGCGCCCGCAGCCTCTGCCTGCACAGCTCCAGGGTGTCAACATGCAGGGACCAAATGTTACAAATGCCTGCAGCTGCTGTCCCCAAAAATACCCTCCGATGACACGCGGGGCTGATAACGCGGGGCTGGGCAGGGCCAGCTATCTATAGCGCCCCAACAGGAGTGCAGCCCTCGGCCCCAGCCAGGCCCTGCCCCGCCGCTGTCCTCGGGCACACAGCTCAGCACAGACCCTGCGCAGGACCCTTGGGTGTCAGCACAGCCTCCAGTGACCCCAAGCTGCACACACTAGACAGGGTGCGCAGTGACCAGAGGCCAGCAGCTCCCCGCTAGCAAGCAGCCAGGAAGCCGGGAATGGGGTACAGCGGACGCTAGCCCACAGCTGGGGGCTGATGCTGCATGAAGGCGGGGGATGGGGAGGCAGGGGACAATGGAATGCAAGGAAGACACCAGGCTGCAGCGGGGGGGTGGGATCGGGGGCAGGGATGTGGGGCACGGGAGATGCCAGACTGCAGTGGG